AAAAAAAAAAAATGAAAATCTAGCGCTTATTTTCCAGTAATAATAAGGCAATTTCGATTTTTTTTTTTTTAAATTGTTCGCGTAAAATTTGTCACCTATAAAAAGTCAGTCTCATTTTTGTCTACGACGTGCTGTGATAATAACATATTTCCATTACAATTTATGTACAACTTGCGACGATTCTTCTGGGCAACGATGGTGCTTCACGCTTTCCTTAGCTTTTGCTTGAACTTCTTCAATACACGAATATCGATTTGAGGACCAGACTAAGTTAGACTTTCTCCAATATTTTATTGACATTCCAGAGCGGGGCAAAACAGGAAAAAAAAAGAAAAGAAAAAAAAAGAAAAAGGAACTGAACGGTTTAACAATGTTGCTTCACAACCATCGTGGCCCAACGCTATTCGGAGAGCACAAGGAAACACAGTCTCCTTACACGTTGACTCCGATAAAAACTTCTTTTTTTCTTTTTTTTTTTGTTTTTTTTTTTTGTTTAACGTTAAACTTTCGATAAAGTATCAAGAGTTAGAACCATTAAAAAGGAAATGTACAACAACACGTAGAACTCTTAGCTTCTGCCCTCAACGTGCCCCCCCGTTTTCCTCCCCGTTTTTAAAAGTATTAAAACGCTCAACCATCAAGGAAAAAGGAGGCTTTCATCTGGCTGGCTTTCATATACAACACTCGAGCGATCGTGAAGTTAATCAAAGCTAAGAGAAGCACTGTCTTCAAGAGTATTACTCGCGTACTCTTGCTCGATTTGAACTACTACAGTATAAGAGGCACTCTGCTGGCCAAAAGTACAAGAATCATTTGGTTAACAAACTTTCAGCTTAACAGCAGGTACTCGATCAGGATTATAACAGAGGATATAATCAACAGGTACTTGATCATCTATGTTCATTAGCCTGAGCAAACTAGCAAAGGATCATTTAATAACAGACTATGGATGTTTGAACAAATTATATGAAACCTCTCAACTGTGTGAACTCATCAAAGAACTTGGATGTTTCGTTTGCTAAGTATCATAAACGAATGCTACTTTTGACACTTTATATATATATATATATATATTTTTTTTTTCTTACCTACGCTGTGCATTTTTGCACACCTATAAATTTCTAATAAACATCCGCAATCTATTTATTAAAGTATATGTTTACAGAATTCAGGTAAAAAAAAAGAGAAAAAAAAATATGTAAGATTAAACAGAAACTAAAGTTAATTGAGAGATAGAAATCGTCGCAAGACTATCTACAATTGAGAAATGGGGAGCTTTCGAAACGTCGAGTGTCGATATCAGTTTAGTTTGTCGTCTAAAGTTAGAAAAATGTCTTGAGACTTTAGCCTGCAGTATGCCTCGCAAACGACCTCCTTAAATATTACACAGAATAAGAGAGATATTCGTACTCGTGTTTGCATTTCGACTGCAAGGAAAGATAAAATCTCATGGGAATTCAGCTATCAACGACCTTAGAGGCGCGATAACAGAGCTAATTTAGTTGCGATTGTGTTTGTCGCCAAGTCTCGACTACACTCGACCCAAGAAACGAGCGTAAAAAGTCGATGACCAAGCATTCTTTTTCCTTTTTGTTCTTTCTTTCGTCGTTTCTTTCTTTTTTTTCTTTTTTTTTTTTTGTGTTCCTTTTCCTTTGTACCTTAACGCATTACAACATTCAGCACGTTAGTTTATCGGCGGAAGTTGGACGCCACTGGTTCAAACGCACAATGGAACAAAGGTTATTATTAAAGCTAAACGAGGAAAGGGTTGGGGGTGAGAGGGGGGATGAGAGAGTTTGTTTAAGGATAAAAAGCGATGTAGAAATAGCGATGAGTCCAGTATCGTACGTTCTCTATCGTCGTCGAACGTTCTCCCTGAAAAAAAAAAAAAAAAAAAAAAAAAAAATCGCTCCGAGATCTTTGCGCTAATCCTTCCAGCGAGTCTTGAAAACCTCGAAACAGAATATGTCTCGACAGAAATTGATTGATTGATGTTGACGTAACGATCACGAACTTTGACACCTCTGTTAAAAAAAAAAAAAAAAAAAACTCACGACAATATTGTGTTATCTATTTACTGTGTTATTATGGAGGGCTTCGAATGGACCCGCAGTTTCGGGGCGTTCAAGACAACCGCAGCCATAGTCCTCGCTCGTGGCTACACGACCACAACAAAAAGACATTGTTCCTTACAAAGATCTGAACGACTGAACGCCCATCGCCGGATTATACAATACTAGATGTTCTGAGCTTTGGTACAGGCACGTAGAAACATCATTAAATACTATGCGTAATAATTTACACATCTCATTGATCAGTCAGTCCTCGAGCATCTCGAGCTGAACGCCATTCGGAGACACGCGACAGAGAAGTCGTGTACAATTCAAGTTTGCTTTAACTTGTTGTACCCTGTGTGTATACATGTGTACGTGTGGTGTGTGTGTATGAGATATAGTGTGCGTGTGTGTGTGTATCTTTGTCTGTCTCTTATACTGTTTTTGATCAGATACAGCCTTCCGTCGATCCAGAGATGCATCTTCGTGGTGTCTCCGTGATTTCACGATCGCTCGAGGTGAGAAACTCGTGTATGCTCGATCAATCGGCGCGGAGTTACGAGCGGCAACGATCGTTGCTGCCTGGCCTCCGGTCGAACGAAGAGAGGTACATAGCCGGTGCTGTCTTGCTAGCCAGGTCGTCGACAACGCTAGGTCACCAGAAGTGGGACTGCACGTAGCCGCCGCCCATGCCGATCGGATTGAAGCGATGCGGATGTATCTTCTCCATTCTCATGGCGCCGGGGCCGCTACTTCCGCCGATGAAGCTGCCGTGTGGCCCGCCACGCGGCCCCCCGAAACCACTTCCTGCTCTTCCTATCATCCCCGGCCCGCCACCGCTGATGCCCATTCCCATTCCGGGCGGCCCGCTGATTCCTCTGCCTCTTCCTCCGCCTCCCAGACCACCGCCGACACCTGAAAACAGCATCGCTGATGAGCATCGCTGACGCAATATTTTTTGACGGGAGAGAGAGAGAGAAAAAGGGGGGGAAAAAAAAAGAAATGAACACTTCTCTTTTCTTAATTTTTTAGGTTAAGAATGAAATGGTTCGAAGGAAGCTGGTGAT